AATTTGGGTCTGTCAGTCAAATGATGATATTTTTTTTTTCAGCACAACATTAGCCGAGATGGCATTTTTATGTACCCAGTATATACATTTACTTAGTGTGTATCCCCTTGTTGAAGTCACTCAACTGACAATGCATTCAGAACTAGCACAGACTAGTTTCCGTACATTTACTAAAAAATAAACTGGGTGCGTACCTATGTTCCCAATACCGATGTTTCCTGAAATCCTTACCCTAACCCTAACCCTAAGGATTTTCTAATGAATTCATGAATGGTATGTCCGACACAAGCTGGTGCAATAAGAAAGGACATATAATTAGAGACAAAGTGCCAAAGGGAGTCTCCTCGGAGAAAACACATTAGATTTTTCTCAAACATCATATCCATCTTCTTTTAAGGACAGGTGTCTCTAGATTGTCTACTTGCCTTTATTCACCTGGGGTCACTGCTACTTGCTTTCATTACCGACAACCCAGCACAACTCCTGAATTGAAATGCCCCCTGTACCTGCGTAGGAGTGCTCCTCCCAGCAAGTGAGAAGAAACGTTCTTAATGAAATAAGTCTCCTTGCTCCGGGCATGGCCAAGTGCTAAGTGCATCGTTCCTAACTGCCAGAAAGTGCGGCCGGCGGCTAGGTTGATTAACACTGGCAGGTACTACTAAGGAGGAGCAGGTTCTGAATCCAAATGCTTGAATTGCATGCATTTTGAAATGAACACTTCAACTTCAATTCCCATGCATGGTTTCAAACTAGTAAAGTGTGTTTTTTTTCTGAAAAGTGCAATTCAATTTGAAAAAAAAATATGATTCAATCTTATACGTCTGTGTGAGTTGATTGTGTTTTCATAAAAACTTCCCCAAGCACAGCACTTAAGAAGTACTTGTGCCTGTGAAAATAAACCTTTTACCCAAATTAAATTTATTCCAATCTATTTATACATGTGGCATCACAGAGGCTGAGACAGAAAGATTTAAAAAAAAAAGCCTGCACTCAGGATAACTGAAATAACTGAATGTGTTATAGAACATGTAATAAAATCCACCAGTAAAACCACAAACCTCCAAAATAAGGGAACCGATGAAAATAGTCACATTGTTTGCTTGTCTACTTCAGACCAGCACAAAACGGCTTTTACATACTTTTACACAAACACTGTCTAGATTATACTAGAAAATGGTAACTCGGATCCTTTGAACTACATACCTCAATTAATAGTCATAAAAATCATCTCAGTTAATTGATCAATGCTTACCTCTTTAATAACTGGCAACCTTTGAGCCCAACACACAAGAAGTAAAAGTGTAACACCTTGCCTCACCATGGTCTCACCATAACTGGATCGACCATAGTCCCAACACACTGTCATTGAAGTCATCACAAAAACCCTGTCAGAGGGCTAGGCCACAAACTTTTATGAGGCCATTATGCCATTTGCAAGCAGTTTGGAAAGTGAGAAGACCAATTCTGCTGTCATAAAAAAAATCAGCAGGACTGGTGGAGGTTTTATGTGTCTGTATCAAGGTGATAGGGGATTGTAGTAAACAAAAGGGATTACGAGGACATCTGAGGTCACTGCAAACGTTAGCTTCACCATGCTGAATAATCTGTGATGAAGTACACCTAAAAATAATACCATTGTAAAATTTCAAAGGCAGTTTATGATTTCCAAATTCCAGTCTTGTGGGTTTTTGTGTGTGTGGATTAAGAACAGTGCAGAGACAAGCAGAGTTGAAAATTGGAACTAGAGTTTGCTTTTCTTTTTTTATATCTGTGGAATAGTGAAATCAAAGTTTACCTCTGACATTTTGAACTCACTCTGCACTGCTACATCAACACTGTAAATAATATCCGAAAAATTACTTGTAAAGAGTTGGCAACTATAATAATCAATGAAGCCATGAAATCCCATTCTGTAGTTGGATATGAATCAACAGAACAACTTGAACCGTGACTTGTTTTTCACATTATGCCAAAGGATTTTTTCTGCTCTCAACTTGAGTTGAAAGAGTTTCTCAATTCTTCTCAGAACCGCACACCCACAACCAAAACACGATTCTTACACCATGTATACTAACTATACTGAGTCACTGGAGAAAACAACTGACAGAAAAATTGCCCAACTTTGATTTTGGATAACCAAATTATTGGGGTATTTGCAATGAAAACATTGGGGGGGGGGGGCGCACAAATCAAAATGGAAATCCATTAATTAATCACTCTTCAACCCTACATGAATAGCAAAAGGATATGATTACAATACTTTCCTCCATTGCAATGAAGAAGCCACAGTTGCTTTAGGTCATGGCCTCAGTCTCTTCCAAGGGTGAAATGTTTTCAATTTGATGCTTTGTCAACTAAACCAACTCCAGTTCCGAAAATGATGATGTATGGTGGCACATCATCAACTTTGAACCTTAAATATTTTGATTTAATATTCCTGATAATGACAAGTAGCCCGCCACACTTAGCTTCTCCTATGCACCTGGGATTCTGCATGAGGCCCCAGCATATCCAGAGGGCAGATAATAATGCGGCATGTGGTACCACTTTGGGCTTAAATTCTGAAATATTTCTCCGGTCCCCTGTGAGTTTGAGTCCTGGTTGCTCAATCACTTCTAAATGGGGTTTGGCTTTTGGACTAGATTTTTCACTTCATATTCTGAAGGCTATGATTCTTCACAATTAAAGGGCAGTGAATAAGTTACAGACTATTATGCCCATTTCGTACTTCCTGCTGACTAAAAAAAGAAGAAGAGGATATTCAGCCAAATTGGTAAATAACACAAGTGAGCCTGAAACACTGTCGTTCATCCAAACTCAACTTTGGAACTGACATTTACTGGTAAATAATTGAAACACAATGAAAACACAACTAGCTATATATAAAGATGCTGTACAGCATATGGTGTTACCTATGAGCCATGAAGAAAAACAAATAACATTGGTACGCCATGCACCTGTTCATGCATGCTAACGGTATGGAATGCACTTGACAAATTGTTGGCTGAATGTGCACAAACCGATATCATTTTAATGTGAGACCAATCACAAAATATGGAAATTTATCAACCTAGTACCAAAACCCCTTATTTGAGTGTGCCCAAGGGAGAGCAAATATGGATGGTGGCTTACATTCGTTAAAAGCAGTGTCATCCATCAAAATCAAAACCCCAATTTCATAATCACACGAATACAAAAATGAAAAACTTCATGGCACTGGCAGAATTCACCCATGGGCTTACTTGTACATAATAACTTGTACACTACCAATTGTGCAACTGTCGCTGTTTATGGTATTTGTTACTGTACAGTGTACAGTCATACGATAATTTTCTGACAACTACAAATTACTGTATTAATGAGGTATTAAAATTACGTATCATAAAATGTAACTTTTGTAAGGAAACTTGGAGCTGCTGTATCCCCAGCCAATCCTCAATCACAGGCTAACCCTAAATTGAAGTTTTCAGCTGGACTGGAATTAATACGTTTTGACAGAAGCCAGTCACTGTGTAAGGGATCACCTCAACAGCCTTTTGTGTAACCCTTTTGAATTCTTCAACAGCCTTTTGTGTAACTTCCATAACCAGTTTAAAGGGAATGTAGGGCCTACACCATTGGCTTTTGCTGTAATTTTCAGAAATGAACTATTTGAGGGGTTAGTATAATAGATCAAATATTGTTACACCGACATGTTTGAAATTTTGTGTTCGAAAATGCTGGAAAAACCAAGCAAAACAAAAATGTTCAAGTAGTCTGGCTCCCTGACTCCACTTAAGATAAAATGGATCAATTTATAGGTGCCGGAAATGTGTAAGGTAAGGGAACCAGTTTAGCTGGCCTGCACCCGTTCATAAAAATGTAACCAATAGCAAACAAAATTTGGACTACAAAAATGGTAAATTTGGAGCAGTAGTTGAAAAATAGTTAGGTTTTTCCAACGGTGGTCGGCCGATCACCGTTGGAAATGTACACAAAAATACCATTTTCTTGAAAATGACTTCACACCAGGTGCCATAATTTTACAGGATGCTTAAGACTGTCATTTACCAACATCCTAGTAAGGTATTTCGTAAAAACTTGGTAGTTTTATTTTTCGATGTTTGCAAATGTTGTATATTCCCTTTAAATTATACCTGGTTTTCAGAAGAAAAAAGGGAAAAACAACATAAGACAAAGTACAGAGAAAATAAACATGGCTGATATTTTATCAAAGAATTAGTTACTTTTCAGATATTCTCTTGCCACACAATGGACCCAACGACATGCTCGGAACCTATACAAAAGAACTTGTACAAAAAAGTCTTCTAACAACAGCTTTCTGAATATCCCAGGACAAAGGTCACATCCTATGACAAAATCAACACATTTCCTGTCAAAAGTGTCAAGTAAAACTTACATCAAGACATATACCCCATCAACTATCTTAATATTTCTTAGAACTGGTCAATGAGTAAACACTTAGGTGCAGCAAGTCTCACCCAACCAATTAACAAATAAATAAACATAGGTTCTTGTGCCATGCAGCCATATATGCATGTATATTTATCCCAAAAAATTAGCACCTATGCTATAATGCAAAGGGATCTCACTTAAGTTTACTCAGAACCAGCGCTCATAAGACAGGCATGCAACTTGGAATTTTGAAAAAAAAACGAGGAAATTCCAAACCACACAAGACTTTATACATACAGTGTTTTTCAATTTGTAATGGCATTCATGAGAAGTAAACACCGAGGAAATCAGCGGATCCGAGGAAAAGTTGCATCCCTGATAAGAAGTTGGATATGAAGAAATCTTCAAGGATAAATACAATTCTCAAGAGTTTTTGGTGAGGATGATCCCTTACAGCACAAGAGCCCATCTGGACAACAAGTTCTTGCCACCCATTGATTTGGATTCTTTTCCCCATTATGCAGTGTATGGAAACACTAATCTATATGCAACCCTCCCCATTAAATCCACCCCTTCTTCCCTTTCACCTCCAGACCAATACTTACTTCGGCCAAAAGAGGCTCAGGCATCAGCGGCAGGCCTTGAAAAGGTACCCCTAATGGACATCAACAATGGGAACACAGGATCCAGTGCAGTGTGAGGGCTGTTTGCTGCCGGATGATAAGCTCCTTTACTGGGTCCAAAGCTTTCAAGACCAGCAGGGCTTCGGGAAAGGAATGCGGTATAGTCATGGATCTGATTGTTGTCTGGTATATATGCATGAGTGGATGGTTTGGGTCAGTTGCCCTTTCAGCATCTTGAGAGCAAAGTAATAAGAAAGACAGGCCCTGTCCATGAAAAGTTTGAGATGTTTGGATCACCACTTCACTTTCAGATGAGAAAGCACAGGTTTCGTTCAACAGGCATGCCAATGTGAAGTCACAAAACACCAGGCTATTTCAAGATGCATATGACTTTCTACAGTTTTTGTTTTTCAAGATAAAATCAAGGAAGTCAGGCTTATCTAACTTCTCAGGCAAAGTTACAAACCACAGTTTCAGTGGACTGGAAGATTTCTGGGAAAAGCCACTATAATAGTGTCATGACTAACAATTGCTACATCTGATCATATGGTTGCATCAATAAGAGTGAAGAAGAAGAAAAAAACTGAACAATTAAAACATCTTGCCAGAGCAAAACAATAAAACTTAAGGAAAACAATAAAATCGTGTACATGTACTTTGTATACGGTACTGTTAGTTTTTATGAGCATGCATTCTACAATTATGACTAACAGAACAAGAAATGTTCATATTACACACGCATGATATTTTAATAGATGAATGTATCAAAGGTGTCAAGAGGTTAGAAACTTGCGCAAAGATTTCACAACAAAATCATCCATCAAAATTTCACTGAAATTTGATGGCCTTTTTCAAAACAAATTTGCAACTCACAGTATACAAATTACAGTAGCTTTTGAAGAAAATAAATAACTTAATTGTGAGGCAGCTGAGCAAACTTTAGATATACTGTACCCAAAGGGTTGAATAGGGACCACAATTGAACAGATGTTCGTAGACATGTCATGTCCAGTAGCTCATGTGAAATATGTGAACTGTTTGTTTAGTTTGTTCATAACCTTTGCTTCTCTCATGCGACACGTATTCTAAAGAGCAATATACATGTAGACAATATTCGTTTGTGGACTGTAAACACTTGACAAATCACGGGACCAATGTTATTGCACGTAGACCTTAAAGGCTTAATCTCTTGCAAAGGTTGAAAAGGCTTCACAAAAGTTCATTGTTTTAATGATGCCTTGAACATAATTTCAATTTTTTTCCTCAATTTTCTTTTGATTTTACAAGATTGTTTTATGACTTAATTACAATAAATTGTGTAGACCATCATTCAATGCTGTTTTACTTGAGTGCTCCTGAGATGCTAGGAACTCATTCCATTTGCACCTCTACAATCACAAGATATTCTCCGGATGTGAAAATTAGCAAACAAACAAAGGCTTCCCAAGTATATTCTTACGATCTTTACCATGAAGGAGGTATTCTGCCGGGTTATTGCAAACTTTGAACATATGATTGTCCTACGCCTTGGACTCTTTCTTCCCACATGTTGACACAGTACTTGAGGGCAAAATGCAATTAACCCAACCTTATGCAGAGCAACGCATGTAAACCAATACAGTATGCATTGAGACAGGGCCAGAAAAGAGAAGAAAAAAACCGAACCACTAGCCAACAACAAACAGGCCTGAGCCACTGGCAAGGAGGCCTTTGTGGCATGAAAGACCAGGTGATTATCATGTGTAAATGGGCAAGACAAAAGGGCTGTAAGAGCAAATAAAGCCCCACTATTCATGGGGCTTGGGCTGGCTGGTCACAATGCACACAACTCTCTGGCTGTGTGGCACACAGATTATGCTAAGCTTGTGGTTATTGGGATAACAACTGAATAACAGTTTCTTGGATCTGTGAGGTGAGAGGATCAAGAAAGGTGGTCATGTGGGGTCTAAAGTGTGGGAAGCTCTACAGAGGAAATTGTCAAAGTTATGCCAAAAATGACATGTCTGGTCGGCGGATGAAAGACCAAAAATCCCTGTAAGAGCCATGGCATGTATGACTCACTGTACCCAATAAAACTGTTAATTTACAGAATTGAACTACACTTCCAGTTCAAAATAACCAATAAAAATTATGAATTCTAGATTTTTGTTTTTACATGTATATCAACATCAAATGAACTCTTATTTGAAAGTATATCATGATCTTTTCTCTTTCAAACTGGTTCTAACCCAAAGACAAAGTAGGAGAGCCAAGTTGGAGCAGTGGTTTCTTTCCTCGCCTTCCACCTCTATGGCCCGGGTTCGATTCCTGCCCTGGTCCACATGTGGATTGGGTTTCAGTCCCTACCTGATTCTGTGGGTTTCCCCAAAAAATTATTATGGGGTTTTCCTCCCACCTCTTAAACTGTAATTTCTTCTCATTGTCTTTTCTCTACAGGTTTCTTCATGCTTCCGTGCTAAAGTGCCTAGGGTGCTTTTAAGGAATCCTTGGTTTCATTACCAGAAATAAATAATATTATTTTTTTTTATAACAAAACAACAAACCAAGCAAAACTGAAATAGCCCCCTCCCACTTCCCCTCCCCCAAAACCCCACCACCACTGCATACATGTTAAATGGATATATTGCCATGGTAAGAACTAAGATACAATCAAACAATTACTGGAAAAGTACTTAAGTCAAGTGTAAGGTCCAAATGTCACCAAAACAATTAAATACTACATTTTTATTTGTGGCATATCTGGGAAAAGTTCCCATCTAGACCCCTTCAGCTGCTCAAAGTGCAAAGATTGTCTGATACCGGTGGCGATACTCACAAATGCGGTGGGTCCACTTGTGAACTTGATACACTGCTGGACAGATGTATTCTTATCTATCAAAAAAGTGCAGCACGGTGTTAACGATGTTGTTTTAACAATTTGTGTCCCACGCAAATAAATTGCCTTCGGAAATTTGGTGTGCAAAATTGCTGCTCTTCACGCCCTCAAATTGTGAAATCGTTGCAGTTCAGCGCCCACATATTAATCTCACTCTTTCTCTCAATGGTAACATTTCAACAAAGCTTCTGCTTACACATACTGGAAAAACAAACCTCGACTGAAGGGACAATACATCACTACAATTTATCATTCATGTTGCAAACTTGGAACTTACAATTTCACACAACTGCCCCCTTAAGAGTTCACCGATGCATCAATGTCCATGAACCTATAAACTGCTTCTAGAAACCATGGGGAAGAAGAAATGCTGATTTTTTAACAACCCTCCAGGGTGACCATAAAAACTCTGGGAAGTATACTTCTGGTCCGAGTCCCCGGTTGTTAGCACATTCATACTGCCGGTGTCTGTCAAAACAGACCCAGTTCAGGGCCCCGAGGGGCAAGATTTGGCATTGACCTCAGGGGTTGAGTATGGAGAAATAACAAGCGATGAAAAGAGAGCTTATTGGAGGAGAAAGAGAGAGGGGGTCAAGATCGGTGGCATGGCTGCAAACCTCTTCAGATGGGAGTTGCCAGAAGAGATGAGATTCCCAGTTACACAAGGGAGCTAATGTTCCAGAAACAGCCCCTTTTGGTGATTTCCTGAGAGACGCTCTACATCATGCACTCTCACATCATGCACTTAACAGTACACTGTGTTTTGTCTGAGCAGAAAACAGACATGGTTTGTCATTTTCCATTCCTGTAGCCACTGTAATAAAAGCATTTCAGTGACATTATATTATCCAAAGAACTGTGAATCCTGCGAATGTGGGACTGCGGACCAAACTGCAGACCATATTCTATCCCATTGCCCTATCTAACAATCTCCACATGGAGCAGACGGTCTAACTAACTTGGACCAGGAGACGAAACTACTGTTATATAAGAGGAAACTTGTGGTGACACTTCATGTGACAAAAATCTTACAATTTACGATTGGTTCTGAATCTTTTCAATGTTTTAAACTACCGACAAAAGCAAAACGAAGAAATTATGTAACTGTTGCAACCTCAAACATGCTGTATAAATCTATTTGAAGTAAGGGAATACAAGTCAATAGTGTTAAATTTTACAAGTGCATGGAAAAATATGTTACAACTTAACCTTTTAGTCACTGTAGTGCCCAAAGCCGTCTTGCATTTTACTCACTGTATCTCCAGAAACCACTGGAGCACTGGTATTATGGTTTTATTGATTTTTTTCGGTGATTCAACACAATGTACTACAATGAAGTAGAATTTCTAATGGGTTAATTGTAATAAATAATATAACATAAGTAATTTAAATTACTGTGGATTATTGTCAAACTTGAGTTTAGGCATCATCAAGGCTGTAGAATTTGTCTTCACTTTTGAATTGTTCTCCTAATAAAATTACAAACAAATATCTGGAACCATCAAAGTGACAAACATAAATATAACAGAGGGAAGCGGTACTTTGAAAACAGAGCCGTTACAACTGCGTTTTATTCGTCACATTTTTGGCAGCAGGTCTTACTACACTGTACAAGCTGATTTACATAACAATAGACTATAATTCACACAATTGACTGATTTCTAATTACAAGTACATTGTATACTATGTTAAGTCATTGGATACTATGAATCACAATTTGCAATTTACAAACGAGTCATGTGCAAAAAAATTATATAAAATGTAATCAATTACTATAAAAAATGGTGGATTTACAATAAATAACACAGGGCCAAAATAACGACGTGAATAATAAAACCTGAAAAGGCTGTTTAGAAGAACATTTGTGGAAACCGTATTGTAACATTTACGGAACATGTACTCAAAATTACCCATGAGGAATAAATGACAAACATTTCAAAGTTATTACATATGATTGGTCTGAAAATACCTGATAGAAATGTTCACTTCTCGTGAATCAGGTAAAATACGCCAATTTCACAAAATGTGTGGGTTTTTTTTTTACTAGTACATGTACTTGTATACACACAAGGCATTTGAACCTACATACGTGTAGAATCTTACAGAACTTTCAGAAAGTTTTGACTGAAAATGCACATTTAGTAAATTATCAACACTTTATGTGATATTGAATAATAATGAAATATCAATAATTCCAGTTATTACTTTTCCAAAACACATGCACTAAAGAATGCTAAACGTGGTCAACAAGTTTAACATCGTAACTAAAGCAACCTCAAAAACAATGGTTTTCACTTTTCAGTAACATACACTGAAGTTCCAACTCAACCGAACGAAAAAAAACCCCCAAGAAATTATGAAAATGTTTCTGGTAAAACGGTACCTCAACAAAATGTGAATGCATGTACATTGCCAAAAATTTAACAATGGTCTTCTTTTTTTATTAATCAGACAGGTTTCATGATATATAATACAATCACCCGAGAAGTGATATAAGAAAAATGTATCCACTGTTGTAAAACGAGGTGAGTGAAAGTTGAACTACCGTCAAAATTGTTATTACTCTTTGTCCAATGTAGTATCAAAGAGATACGAGGACACAATTTATGAGGGCATCTCATAAATCACTATTTATATGGTTTACATATGAACATGTATTGAGCGTGTTTGCAGTGTTCAAAACACATACTGACACACAATAAAATCACAGTTGTGTTCCACAATTTAGGGGTTTAACAAAACAATACATATCACAAAAGGTAACGACAATACATACTTGTACATATCACAATGGGTATTTGTGGCAGCTGTTTTGACATGTGCATGTATTATAATTAATGTCAACATGCTGTGCGTCGTGTGCGAATGCATTATTGTGATGTTTGCAACGCCGTGAGACTGCTACAGCTGCTGTTTTTGTTCTCAACATCTATGCGCAGGTACATTTTGTAACGCCAACGGTTAAATTTTGGGTCCCAAATCACAAAATGCGTTGTGTTCATATTCATTCTTCTAATGCCTGAAACAGTCTTTTTAATTAAGTTCATTCATTAATGTAGACATATCACAAGTAACATTACATGGCATTGTGGTATTTTGATTACAGCATTCTGTGACTGTCGTTACACCCGTGACAGTAATGTATTCCAGCAATACGTCAGTGCTTCAATTTCATTTAAATAAATTATTTAACAAACACAGATCCTCCGTTGTACTTTTCATCCTAAGCTTTTGGTACACCATTGAGAAGTCTTATGTACATTTACCCAAACACAATCATACCGTAGAGCTACATGTAGGTCCTAGCTCTCTGATCATACTATGCTGCGCAAACTAATTATTTTTGACAGTGAATTGAATTTATTTTCCGTTCGACAAGTTTTATGTTTAACAAGTTGCAAGCATGCTAAAATACTTATAATCTATGCATTATGTGCACTGTTAGAGTTAGAAATATACAGATACATTGTAAGTCATCGACCCAAAAGAAAAGTTTGAATAGTGTTTCTTTCTGAATACAGTATTTTACATTTGAGCAGTGCTGGCACATAATGACAAGAGACCAACATTTACATCTATGTACAAAATTACAAGTTCACACCATGTTAAATATCTGTACAAAACATGAATTTTTTTTTCAATGTCATATTTATTTATTTTTATATTTTACACTTTGGTACCACTGTTATTTTTCTTAATATGTTTTTAACAAGTCTCATAAGATAGGCATAACTTGAGGGTTACAATCTGACAAAGCCAAGTATTAAGGCCACAGTTGATTTTCTTGTGCAGATTTTACGTCTGCTAGTAAGGGCATTCCTTGAAAGAGTTTATGTTTATTGAACTGTTCGAATTATGACCCTTTTGACATACCCCTCATTTTTCTTCTAGTTACTACAAACACCAAACTACATATAAATGTATCTACTAGACCTATCACCATGGTGTTAAATGCCAAATATTTAGTCAGTACAAAGGCTGTTCATGTCAGCTTTCATTTTCGAGTTTTTGAATATTTAAATTAAAATTCTATTCACTGAAAATTCCCATCTTTTTACGAACTCTTCATTACGTCTTTATTTCCGTATTAAACATTTGTAATTTGTCCCCTCCCAATTCCCATTGTGACCAATTCAGGTAGAATAAATACGTTTCCTCTGTTGCACCATTGAGCAGTGCCGACATTTTGTAAGGGTGAACCATACATTGATATAAATTGTGCAAACAATCCACCCACCATGTGGCAAATGTTCAGTCCTGCCAAAGCCACCCCTCCGCTCTTATCTTGTGAAATTTCCTGACTCGAATTTTGAGGCATGCCATGACAAATTACCAATTTTACAGGTTACGACCTTTGGGTTGCGCAGGCCTTGGCCAGAAAGACGGCCCGCCTGCCATGGAGCATGTGAATCATTCTCCAAACCCTGCTTGGATAAACAAAACCTGACAATGCCCCAGACCCGACCCGTGATAAATTGTGAATAGCTGCAAATTTTGAGGGGGCCGGAGTTGTTGTTCTACTGAGCAATGTGCTTCCTGCCTGCAGTAGCGGCTACCAAACAAAGACTTCTACTAAGATAATTTGGAGTGTGGTGGGGGCTCACACAACAGGAGCATGGACACCAGTGAACTTGAGGGGCTTCTCAGTAACCTTTTGTTGGGACTTGGAGTCAGGCTTTCCTGTCTTTGTGGCAATTTTTTTAGGAGCGTTTTTTGCATGTTTGGGGGAAGGAAGGGCTATTCATAAATCAATGCTAAAATAATAAATGTAGATGCGACACCGACATGAGACAGTGTGTGATGTGTCGAAATGGTTTTGTGCACTGTTCTTCGCTCTCTTCAAAAAGTGGTTTCCACAAAATTTAATGAGCCAAACTGTGGATGAATCCCAGTATCATTATCAAAAAAGTACATGAGGTATTTTCATGTGCAGGTATTGTGGCACTCAGATAGCAGGCAACTCCTTACTCCAAACGTTTGAAAAATGTAGTGTCCCTCCTTATACATGTATGTTCTAATTCTGTCTTGCTGCCTATAAAAATCAAGGAACCACATTAATTGAGGGCTTCTGAATTTAATATATTTTCTCTTTCTGCTTTGGTGCAATAATTTGTTCTTGTTTATAGTTTAGGACATTTTTCCTGTTTATCAATTTCCTGATGATCAAGACTCTGAAACACTGTTAACCTGAGGTGTGATATCCTGTTTACTGTGTTAATTGTTTTAACATCAAAATGCTGCCAATAACTTATAAAACAGGATGCATGAATAAACATACACTGTTATCTACAAAATACTTGTTGAAGCAGTTGGTTGAAGGTCTTAATATTGTTCAATCTGCGATAGGCCAAGAAAAAAAAAGGTCTTCGGTTTCCGGTATGGAGCTTGCCCCAAAAGTGGTGCGGCAAAGTTTTTTTTTTTTTTTTGAATTTCTTTTTTTTCATCAAATGGTGCCCGACTAAATGTAGTGCAAAATGTATAGAATCCCAGAGAGGCCACATAAATCTTATACTCGACCGTAACCCCATCTAAAAACATGTTAAAATTGTGCAGCAGCAGGATTCCAGTCAAACCAGTGAGTTTGGCAGTTTTGAGACATCTTCTTACATTGAAAATAAAAACGTTTTAATTTTGCCGACGCGCATGGCTAAGGCGACGCGCGTGCAGACCAGAAACGGAGACTTTTTTGGGGGCCATAGTGACACAAAGTACACTGTAAACCGCAGTGCAACTTTATTTCGATATAGAAATTTGAAACCAAAAAGTCCTTGATTTTTATCAGTGCGGCCTTCTTTTTGAGCTAATGGACATCCGTGATGTACCGATTTAGTGATTAAATAAAACAGACTGTGTATTTTTTTTAATAGATTTATTATGTTGTGAGAAACAGGGCAAATGCAAGTGAAAAATTTGAAATTGAATGACTTTAGAATTAGATGAAGCTACGTGTACAAGTGATGGCTCGAGAGAGGCAGGAAACGCACATTTTGTCTTGAGCATGTTCTTTTATTGTAAAATACTGTTTTGATTAAATACACAGATGCAACATTTTTTTACAGCTAGTTACAGTTACTATTTAACAATCATTGGCAAAGAGCTTTTTAAATGCACTGGTACAGTACAACAATAAAACACACGTTTAAAACCTTTTTTTAATAACACAATTTTGTTGTAAAACAGTAAAACAAGTTAAAACTTTGCCTTTAAATACAGACTGTTTTTCAAGGGTGGTGATTTTAAGATATTTTTGTTTCTGGTAGAAAAAAAATAATTGAAAGCTTCACTTATGAAGGTCTTTTACAAGTGAATTTCAAAATTCAACGAACAAAATGGCACTTAACACAAAAACAAGTTAAAACTTTGCCTTAAATACAGACTGTTTTTCTAGGGTGGTGATTTTAAGATAGTTTTGTTTCTGGTGGAAAAAAAATAATTGAAAGCTTCACTCATAAAGATTTTTTACTTATAAATTTCAAAACTCAATGAAAATTTGGCATTTAACACCACTGGCATGAAATAGCTAATGCATCTCTATTCTCTTCTCAATTACACTAGAGTTTTAATTGTGATCTCCGTGGGCCCTGCACACAATTTTCTATGACGTGATGGCTTCATTATTTATGCATACTGCCAGATCCCCCCCCCCCCTGTGACTCATAGAGTCATACACAAACAGAATCCATGACCAACAAAAACAAGTTCAGTGTTAATACAAGTATTGTAAAAATAATACAAGTACTGTAAAAATGTTATACAGTTCTCTTCCATGTTCTCTATACTTCACAGTTTTTTTTTAAAGCTAGTAATTTCCCCGACGAGAAGCTACAATCACAATACATGTATCACCAAAGTGTTAAGGCATAAAATTTGAACTGGAATTTACCAACTGTTTATCAAAAGAATAATTTATAAATGAAAACAGGCTGGATAATGTAGGAACTATCATATACATAACGCCACACCAAGGTAAACAACCTCCCCTGGTGAGGGGCTTGCCAACCCACACACCATTAACCATGCATGGCAGGGCCCAACACTCTAACACAGCACATCCAGGGTTTTGCAAAAAGAAACAAAGTAACGCTTCACCAGTTTCCTAAAAAATTACGGGCAGGACCATCTCTGAAAAGAGATGACAAGTTTACATCACGCCTGACTGGAGACTTTGTTGGTCAGGTCACGGCCCGTCTGGGAAATGAAACAAATTGAAGCCAGTTCTGTGTGTGCAGCCGTGTTAGTTTTTATAACAGTACTGGATGACATGCATATAAAAACTGGAGTTGAAGCGTGTAGCTATAAATGACAGTACAGTGTTTTTGAATTTAGAATCTACAATCATCATATGCCTAGTACTGTCAAGTAACCAAGATACTTTTTTATCTAATTAACCTCAGGCCAGTGCAATTTTCCATGTGAACACCGACTAATAGCACAGGTACAATTAATGTGAAATCACTTAGTGAAGCACTACATTTTTGCAAATACATCAGCGCATAAATTTAAATGACTTTAAATGGTAATTTCTTTCAAATAGTCCAACCCTCAAAAAGTACTGCATTTAGAGCAGTCATGCTATACAAAGTGACAACAGGCAGTACAAAGTAATTTAAAAGTACAGTGTTTGAGTACTGATTTAAACGCATGCACATGGTACTAGATTTGAAATGTGATTACAATGCAGTTATAGTGAATTTTTGGTGTCAACAATGAATCGATAATTAAAAATTTTGCAAGAGAGACTGCAAGAGACAACGTCTTGGATTAAAGACTTGTAAAAGTTAGGCTGCTCGTGTTGAGAAACGATGCAGAAAACGAAGCACTTAAAAAAGCCTTGATCTTTGCGTTCATGATTCATGTGCACAGCATGTTCAGAGAACATCTGCACTGCCCCTTTAAAAAATTCCAAGCCAGAGAGACAGCTACTGAGCTAGCCCCTGAGACCTGTGAAATTGATCTCTCTGCAGAAAATGCAAGGGGAGATTGATGTCAATTTGGGCACAGGTGATGTGAATTTGAAGTTTGAGAAGTTGCAGGAATGGGGCTATGGAATCTCTCCCTGGTAGGCAGGGCAATGGCCTTCCAGAAAAAGGTCACTCAGTATCTGTTTCTCCTTGCAATTTGGAGCAATGTTTCTTCAGGGAAAACCACAAACTAGTTTCGCCCAAGTTTCAATTCAGAGGAGAAGGGATGTTCGTATATGCACAGACCAACATTTCACACTGACGGGAATGTCTGCCATGTAAATATTTAAACACAAGTTTAAGAAATGTCATCATCACCCACGGAGAGCACTGCGTCTGTCATGAACCATAAAATTATGAAATATTAAAGTTAATGACAGCCTGAAGCATGTTCATGAATGACGCATAAAAATGACCTTGTGTGCTACATACATGTATGCTCAAGCCTAATTCTCATTTACATGTCATTTACAATTTTTAGTACACAAGCCTGAAAAGTGCCGATCAAGTTGAATTCCCCACCCCCAACTTTTTCCCCAACTCTTGAGAATGTACATGTAAGCCGTGAGGATTTTAAGTTCACTTGATTTTAGCCTGGAGACATTTTTTCGCTTTTCACTGAGACCGATGTCTCCTAGATTTTTTCCGCCTGGCTTGACCGATCATTATCTTGGCAGGGCCTGACACAAAGCTGGGCAAAACACTGGAGGTCACTTTGAGTTATTTGAGACAGAGAATTCGCTCTGCACTCAAGCGCCCAAGCCAACTGCACATGTCATGTTGGAAATAGACCTTTGGACTTCAGTTATCATGGCCCAAGCGGCTTGGCATCACAGAGGTCTATGCTTGGACAGTACTCTCCGTTCAAACACTGGGCATTTGTTTGCTTCCATTCCACGCATATCCCAACCAAATACACCAATATTATTTCTGGTTGGATTTTTGGAAGAGATGGTTTGATTATCAACCCGGCACAGGATATAAGTTAGATATTCTTGTATTAATATCAACAAAGTTGGATTTATTGTGTACTGTTTATAAATAGTAACTGATGATTAAGTACTGTGTTTACCATTTTCCAAGAAAAGGCTTTCAATTTTTTTTTCTCCAAGAATTGCATGATGTGTACATGTACTATAATCAAACATACTGAAAATGTGGGTGTGCTTAAAGTTTTTAATATGACTGATGGTCTTAGAAAGTACTGCAAAGTTTCAAAATACTCAAGTTGTGCCAAGCGCACAATATTTAAGGCTTTGTGACAGTGAGACACTCTTAGGCAAAATTAACCTTGGAAAATGGCCTACACAATAAAAGAGAATTTAGTATTCAGATTGGAAACGCAAAAATTAAACCGTATTACATATAATTCCACAATGCCTGTCCCAATCCCATGTGTCATATGTTGAACTCCAGATCCTTTAGTATACAAGTAATGAATTTTTATCAATGCAGAATTCCATTTCCATAGCAAAATGCAAGCTGAACAGCGTCCCAAATAATGGAGTACACTTGACAGACAGTATGATGATTAGACCCCAAAAAAGGAAGCCCCCTTTGACTTTAGTCTACTTCTTTACAGACAGGCATTGTGAAAGAGAGACACTATTCCTGCCATCAATGATTTACACAACACATTACATCAGTGATTCATTCAAGATGGCCGCCGTCACACAGCCCTGCAATTTGTATGCTGGGGCTTGCCAACAAAACACATATGCTCTGTGGCTGTTAGTCCTTTCCAAAGTCCCTCACAATGGTTTTGTTAAGCCTTCCCATTAATCACACATGGCCCGGCATACCAGACAGTTTGTGTAGCCTTCTATTTGGCTCTGGGCCTCCAAGGACCTTTGTGCACGATGATGGTTCCATGGTCCATATTCACGAATGAGATCAGCAATTCAGGGACCACCACAAACTGAAGAGGTGTTGTACATGTACATGGATGTACAACACAACGTACACACAGCTGTCATGATGCTTGCAGTACCAATTGTTCAATGTTTCAAAAACTCTTGTTTGCGTTCCATCAGCCTTGCCGCTACACTATGACGAAGTGGTGCCAAGTTTATATTTTCAGTGATGATTTCAATTACTTCACACGGATGCTACAAGTACAACCAGTGTTGCCCGATTGAGAGCTTTCGCGTGCTGTGCAGATACATCGATACACTTTTGTGAACATGTTACATAGTACATGACTAGTTTGCGACTTACTTTACTAAAACCTTTTTACATTCAGTTACTTTTTTTCACCATACATACCGAGTTTTTGGTTTAAACTTTAGACTTGTTGACACCTATGTACTGAATTTAAGTTATCTTGCAATTTGTAATTTTTTAGTTTATCCAAAATTGCGTCTAGTTCGACGAGTGGGTGAAAAGAAAATTCAAGCAAGGTACCATTTGTCTGATAAAAATCACGATTAAAAAAAGAACGATTTACACTCTCATAAAACAGCTTTCGTTAAACATGGTAAAACAACACTCATGCAGTACAAAGCTGTGCCTGCATTTTAGTAATAGTACAATTTCGGCACAACATGATGGATTATATTTGGACACATTTGTTTTTTTAAAATTACAGCATGTATTTACAAATTATTCACCCACCTGGTTAGGTCCAGGCCTGGGGGTGGGTGGGTACCTTTGCTCTCCATGAAGCTACGCAACACTTAAAACTTGCTTTGGCTTGTTCACAATTCTCACGCAAGCTCACAGTCACAATATCACACCGACATGCAGTCCAGTTCATTTGAACAGTTCCACCAACGAGAACGATGACAACCCGTCAACGTTGAAACCGGTTTCAACACCAACAAGACGTCTGCAGGTTGGTCGACACAAAAAGCTTGGCTTTATCAACTACACTAATGTTTTAACAGTTTATACTGGTGCTCAGTGTTATTTTGTTTGCAAGTGAATACGTCACATCATACGTTTGTGGGTGGTTGTTTTGGCTGAAATATCGAGCAGATTCTGCTGTAAAATATTGACCACGACCGGACAGTCTTCCCTGACCAAATCCAAACTCCGCTCGTGATCCCAACGACCAAGAGCATGAGATATTTGATCATGTAGACTAGAAAGTCCGGATAGGATAGGTGTAGGTTAGGAATTTGTAGGTTAGTAATAGGATCAGAGCAGGAGAAGCCGTACTGGTTACAGTTTTGCTTTATCCAATGTGCTTGCCAACGGGCATGGTTGGCCTGCTCATAGAAATAGCATCCAATCACAACCGAGGCGGGGAGTGTGTACAGCACAGAGAAGAGCCCAATGCGCATCATCAGCTTCTCAAGTTTGTCTGTCTTGTTCCCGTCCTGCTTCATGAAAGTTCTGATGCGGAACAGAGCGATAAATCCCGTGAGCAGAAATATGGAGCCGATGATCAGGTAGACAAAGAGGGGCGCGAGGACAAATCCTCGCAGGGCGTTGATGTTCGAGACTCCAGTGTAGCAGACGCCTGCCAAGGGGTCTCCATCAATTTCTCCCACTGCAAGAATTATGATGGTCTTGATGGCAGGTATGGACCAGGCAGCGAAGTGGAAATACTGCGAGTTGCGCTCGATGGCCTCGTGCCCCCATTTCATTCCAGCCGCCAGGAACCATGTCAAGCTGAGGATGACCCACCACAACGATGAAGCCATTCGGAAGTAGTACAGCAACATGAAGAGAATGGTGCATCCTTCCCGCTTGGCTCCTTGAGTCAAGGTCCAGAGTCTTCCAGGAGCAGTCGGCTTGTTGCAAGAAACTTTGTCGGCCAGGAAAAATCCACTGATGTAGACAACGGAGATGACGAAGTAGCATCCAGAGAGAAAGATGATCGGGCGCTCTGGGTACTTAAACCGGGTCCGGTCAATCAGAAATGTCAAGACGGTAAAGAGGGATGAAACTGCGCACAGGAATGCCCAGGACCCGATCCAAATGCGAGCAAATCTCTGTTCGCTGGTGTTGTTGAAGTACATATGGCAAGGGGCCCCGCAATTCTTCTGACCCAAGAATTCGTATTCCCAATCCGCATTCACCATGAGTTCCTTGGGACAAGAGAAAGGGATGTCCTTTTTGGTGGAGGTGGTAGCGGGAAGCTTGGTCACATTGGGTGGTGTTGTGGGAGGAACAGTGAACTTATCCGTTGTGCGATTGCGATCAAAGCACAGTCCAGATTCGGGGAATTGGTCGCAGTCCAGGCTTGCCGGCCAAGAGAAGCCAAATTTGTTCATGAGTTCCTCGCAGCCGCTACGGGCGCTGAGGCAGAGCGATCGGCAGGGCTGCAGGGCGGGGTGGTCCGGGATCCTGGCACAGAACGGAGCGTACATGGAGCACAAGAAATACTTCAGATCCACCGAGCACTGCACCTTGACAAGCGGGTAAAACTGGTGGACCTCCAAGCCGGCTTCCTCCTGTCTGTTGTGGTTGAGTAAGTTCGGCATGATCGTCTCGTTGTAAGGGACATCTTGGCACAGCGGAATGGTTATGGGCTCGCAACGACCGTACGATATGCTGCCGATTTGACATTCGACCGCAGAGAGTGTGCACAGGAAAACGACGACGATCGCAACGGTGTGGGCCGTGAAATCCGGCAAAATTCCTCCGGTTCTCAACGCCATTGTGTCAGCTTGTTTCCTGGGATCCACCGTTGTCACCAGATCATCGAGAGAGCGGCGATCAAGGCTTGACTGAGGATGAAATTTAGTGCGGAGAATATCTAAGAATGCCCGCTTCGTATCGGTGAGACAATCTGGTGAGAATTCCACACACTAGTGCCATACAGCATCTGTGTTACAGTAATTGCACACACTGTGCGCGTAGAGTGCTCAGCGCATAATGTTTACCATATCGTACCTGCTTTGTGGCAGGCCCATTGGCTGCATCTGACGTCACGGTAACGGTTTCTATTACCCCCGATAATTGCAAGGAAATAAACGCGTATTTATGGTCCATTTCGGAATACCAATTAAGAAATCAACATTTTTATGGCTGTTCCTGGTTCGATTGTAACCATTTTGATCAAACTAAAAACTTTAATAACCTTTTATTTTTCGGACAGGTTGAAAAATAATCCGGATCTAGAGGAATACGCCATACATTAGAAACCTCCCAATGATAAGTGGACTGTACCCAATCAGCTCGCACCATCAAATCACGTGATCGTCACTCGAACAAAGCAGTGAACAGGTGCACAAAGGAGCAGTTTGGAAATTGAAAAAGATTGTATACGAAACATGTACATTTATTTGTGCGTGTTGTTTTAAAACGCTTTTAAATCGGGCAACTTTCAACCTCAACAATCAATGAAATGCCTTAAAACAATAAATAAATTCACTACGGTATTTTGTGCAGAAATCTATTGCAGAGAAACTCCTGAGAAGAAAATATATGTATAATGACACATGGCAAAATAATATCTAAAATTTAAGGGTCAAAACATGGCCAAACTAAATCAGATGCAATTTCCAGTTACATAATATTTCCAGTACGTTCCTTAATCAAAAAGATATTTCATTTGTGAGGTTTGTATTTGAAATGATGTCCAAGCCAAACATAACTTGTATAGATTGTTCCTTGTATTATTTTTTTCCCAGTGGAATCACAGGGTCTACAAGTGGCTAATACAATTATAAAACTAAATTTATCTTCATAAAAATAACTGCAGATAAGAATTATTACTTCCTGTAGCGGTAATCATTTGGGATCTGGTGATAGTTTAAGATAATTGTTTCCTGAACTAGTACCTTCTTCCTTCCTAGCCTGCCCATATAGGGACATCCTATTTGTAGAGTTTTATTTGTGCTGCAGTTGCATGTTCGCAGGCAATGTACTTGAAAGTGCACTCAGTTTTGATTAATTGTTCAGTTACTCCGACATTTGTTGGTCAAAAAATTCTAATTTCACAGGTTTCTCATTCAAACTATTTCTTCTCTTATAAACCTTTATTGAAAGTGTAGGTCATGTCTACTTTTTAAAATAAATGTTCAGAAGTTCTATTTAACTGTTTTGAGCATTATGTATAGAAATCAACAATATGGTACTTTCTGCTTGGAAATTTACTTCAGAAAATCTGGTGGGAAAGGGGGAGTTTGGAAAATCTGCTGGTCCTTCAAATTAACTTATTAGTTTTACCAAAGTAGGATCATTTCTAATAATGTTTTATTGTATTGCCTTAGACCAATCTGTAATTATGGACTTGTTCTATATCAAATTCTCGCTTGTTCCCAGTCTGAGTGTGGAATAAGTCTGCTGTCAGACGAAAGGATTTTGTGGGTCCATGTTTTCATTTTACCAATTAATCACACCCTAGTTTCCTGTTTGGGGACAAAAGTGCTGTTCAAAAGCACCCTATGGAAGCTTGACCAATTTACAACAAAGAAGTCGACAATGCCCACCTTAATTGGGGAGAACTTGCCTCAGGCAGTGATTAAAACCTGAAAGGGGTTTTCGTTTATTTTCCCCCATAGATGCTGTATCAGTGATTGGCAGATCAGCTGTGCAGTGCTGAAAGATGCTTTGAATACCATGAATTATTCATCACTTATGATGAATTTCCCTAAGGATGACACTTATCACCAATAATCCTCAGTATTAATTTAAGGATAGGGACACCCTATTGACAGAATGAGATATTAATAATTATGTGTAGGCCTACCATTTTAAAACAGTATTACCCTATACAGATTTGTTTGCTGCCAATTAAACTTGAAGAAAACATAATGTCAGTCATCCTGTTAAAACGATCTCTTTAACTTTTATTCCATGGCACTGTTAAATGTGTACAATTTGAATAATTTGAAAAACAGTTTAATTTAATGAAGTTCATTGAATGGAATATGTACTGACATTCAGCTTGGTTTATGTGATCGATAGATTAAAGACAGTACTGGAGCTTCAATTAATATTTTTGACAACATTTTTGCAAAATAACTTCCCATAATGTATGCCAACATGTAGAGGCCCTTTTATGTGTTTTGTGGCCATGTACAAATATCTGTTAGTTAAGGATTCTGTGCAAGTTATCACTGACGCTTGAAAAACATGAATAATAGACGCTTTCATATCCATCACTCAACAGTGGTGAGGATGGTCAATTTTTCATTGTCACATGACTGATGAGTCCGTTCCTAGACAGTGACAACATGGCGCTGGAGTTACACCCGACCACTGAATATGACACACGCTAGTCCCTCATCAAGTTTTCAAGCGGTACCCCGCTCTAACAAAAAAATTATAATCGGTGCTGAATGTAGGTTTCCACCCATGGTCGCCTCCATTGTCAAGCCTCCCCTGTTTGATCTGCTTGAGCCATTTTGCACTTTGTGTACCGTGCCGTGCCCCTTGGCCCCAATTACTGTTCTCATTCAGTCACAGTTTAAACCCATTTCTGGGTCAGTCACAACCGGCCGGGCTGACCATCAATTATGAAACTTAACTACTGCTTTAAAATAACAACGTTGGCAGTGGATAGGGGGCCATAGGGACAGTGAATGTTTATGATTTAGATCACGTTCCTGCAACTTTGATTCCCAATTTTGCAAGAGTGTATTAGTAATGCAATAGGATTCCATTTTTGGAGCAAAACTGGTCCAAGCAAGTATGTACACAACATGAAGACAAAAAGAAGAGAATCGTAAAATCTCCGTTCTTCAGAATGCCCTCCAGCTTAATCACCTCAATCAGATGGAATTAAAGTAATGCATAATTGAAGTTCGGAAAATCTATGAATTTTATATTAAATGAATGAATTTTGAGCCAATTTATCAACGATCAAGAATGAATTTTGAGCCAATGTATCAACTATTACACTATGGAAAAAATGTATCCTCAATATCACATGAGAAATGTTAGGGTCAGAGAGCATGAATAACAAAGAGAAATGCATCTGTAGATAAGAAAATGTCCACGCTGGATGTTCTTGAGTTGACACAATCCGAGACAGGCTGTCAGGGGATATGTCATATCTCAGCCCTTTGCCCCGGGGTTATTTTCTTTGCCGTGCGCATTTTTCATGTTCCCAGATTACTGCCTGGGGGATTTTGGCTAGGGATAAAGACGAGTTGGGGAACAGATGTAATAAGATCACACATTATGATAATTGCATCTTGTCTGAGTCCTGGCTGGTTGAATGGATGTCATCCAGACAAAAAAAGCGACATTCTCTTCAGTTGTTGTTTTGCTTTTGTTGAGTTGTAATTTTCCAATCCATGTAATGATTGTGGTCACACTAGATTCCAAAAAAAGGATAAATATTGTAAACAATATGACAATACATGAACTTTATTATGAGTAAAGTGCGCTGGAAATTTGAAGACAAATATATGGGTCTGATTTTCCCTTAAAATGTCCTTTGTCATTCAGGAGTACTCGGTGTTCAAACCCTAAGTTTCTTTGAGCATGAAAGTTTGTTTCCAGTCTCATTATTATATCAAGTAAATAAAAGATACCTTTTTGGGACTTGAGTTACAGAGCTCATTTTCTTGATTAAGGAATTATTGCCTGTGGCATTGGGATTCTCAAAACAGGGACCGTCAGAAATGTACAAAGCACTGCTAACAATCCACACAATTCAGTAAATTTTAATTTGCAAGAAAAAAGGTACAGACCACTTTCAACAATACCACAGCAGCACAGGTTTGAAAGGTCAGCTTTTGACCACAACCTTCTGATACTGTACACTGAAAATACTTCACAAATTTAAGTAATTTCCTTGGTAAAATATTTATGGACAAGGTCTATAAAACACTTCACCACATGTCCAGCCTCAGGTATTTTATTCCCCAAAATTGCTTGTTCCTCCCCCCAATTTCGGTTTCACACACTACCAAAGTTGTCCCAAGAGCCTTTCAAAAGTCGGCAGCTAGTCTTCTCCTCACCAAGATTTATTCTTTGCTTATTAAAATAACTTCCCCACTCTGTTATTTTTAAGAAAAGGTTCAAGGATGGGACCTTGTGACTTGACAGGCTGACCTTAGGTGACCTGGGCCGAATTACTGGGATTTTTTTGTTGCTTGATTTAAGATAAGAAATAATTATGACGATGGAAACATCTGAAGTAATGACTTTTATATTCTCATGAAAATTTAGTATCATGAAAAACGTTCAGTGGCCATTTACTGAGGAGAAAGTGAATAAACACAAAACAGTTTCTCCAGAAACTTCAGGTGCTCGTTTACCTCCTAATATTTCAAATTGTCCTGTTTTTACTTGTGACAAGAAATTCTTGTGTGAACATTTAATATGAAGAACAAAAGAGGCTCATTGAAGTGTGTGTTCCTGGGATCCTGCAGAGGAATTCAACAACAAAAAAAATACTTTTCAAAGATACTTAATTGTTATAAATTTTCTTTAAAACATTATTTCCCATACAGCTTTGGCTTTAGTTTTAGCTTATTAGTAAGTTAATATTATGTTTCTCTATGTCAGTCCTTAGCTATACTTGTGTCTAAACTGAGAAGAGTAATTAATTTTAATGACCCTTTTATCCATGGACATTATACAGTCCAGCTGTGTAATGGATCCTCCAGGCCACTCAAAGGATAACATGACCAAGTAGTGGTTGTTTTCATTTTCATTCTCATAGCACCTTACCGGACACCTCCCCCAAATCATCAGGGACACCAAGATAGGACCAACTGTCCCCTCTGGGGATCTGACCCTATACTGACCTTTGAAGCCTCCCCCCCCAAAAAAAGAAATTCTTTGTTGTGTGAGCTGTTAAACTTTGGCTTACAGGGAATGTACATCATTGGCTTTTACTGTAATTTTCAGAAATGAACTATTTGAGAGGTTAGTATAATAGATCAAATATTGTTACACTGACATGTTTGAAGTTTTGTGTTCGAAAAGGTTGGAAAAACCAAGA